GCAGCTGACTGGGACTCCCTTTCATGTCTTTCCAGGGCCTTTAGAACCTTGGATATCTGGGGTCCAGCTAAGACTGAGCTTCAGGCCTTCGGGGCTACAAATTGGCTGCAACGAACCCTTGGCCTGCTAGGCCTTTCTGTTCATCAGATGTTCAGGCAGCTTTGCTATCTGCTGCAAGAGGGTTAGTTGGTGGACATTTGGTCATTATTATGCAAATACACCCAGACAATGTGCTCAGGCACTATTTTATGAGGCCTTTCTGAAGATTTGTGGCAGCCATCTTGCTACTGCACTGAGGCCCACCATTTCTCTTGCCCCATAAAGCCCTGAAACCTCTCTCAGTACTCTGAACTGCAGGACCATGGAACCACCTATCAACTTAAAAGTATCTGAGGATGCTCTCTAAATCCTGTAAAATTCAAACAATTTTACTGGATATTATACACAATTTTGCAGGATGCCAACAATGTTGGTACTAATGTTTATCATAACTTAATAGATAAACTCATTGAATCCGAACCATAATCAGCATTAACATTTCATTGTTGAACAGTTCAATTCAGACTAGATCAACAAAAAAGGAAAATCAACCCTTATCCCCAAAATTACTGCCATTGATTACATTCAAGTATAAAGTAATCAAAAACATCACCAAGAAAAGTAACAAAGGCAACAAATAAATGCATAAATAAATAGTATTGCATTTGGCATCAAAAAAGCTAATATTGAACAAAGGGAATGTGAGTGACATAAAAAAAAGAATGAAGAGTTGGTGAGATGAGGCAGTAAGACCTTGTTCACCTGCCCTTGCCCCTGAGAAGTACATGTGTGCACTCCTGTACAACCACATCCCACTTTCCTTCTTCCTACACACACCTTTCATCTCTTTGTCTTGTTTCTTGGATAGTTGACAAGAGCTTTTTTTCTGAAAGACAGTTCCCCTTCCCTATTGCTAATCTTAGATCTGTTGTCTGCTTTTAAAATAAAGACTGGATGTATAACACAGGATGAAAGGAATTTATATCTCTGTAACTCACGACATGATACCAGTATTTTATTTGTTTATTTATTTAAAACGTTTATATCCCGATCTTCTCAACCTCCACAAAGGGACTCAGACCGTAGTGAGAGAATGCAAGTTAATGCTAAAACACTATAACTTTATATTTCACAATTTAGATGTTTCCCCTCCTGGTTCCTTTTTTCTATCTTTTCATTTGCTTTTATCTGCTTCATGAACAGAACTCTTAAGTATGCTGCATAGCAGACAGAAGTGGGTGGTTTAAAGGTTTGGCAAAAACACATGGGAACAGCCTCAATGTTATGAGTTTCCCATGTCACTGTTCATTTTAAGGCATAATGCCAAGATGCAGGTTGTAATCTCATAATTTCATCAGATGGGTGTCTAATATCACAAACAATACAAAACATACAGTATCAGTAGTCATATATTGGGCACCTCTGTCTTTACCTTGTCTAAATAATAGGACTGTGCAAAACTTCATTTGTAATTCATTTTTCGGATCTAATTCATTAGATTTATACTAGGGCTGGGCGGTTTCGTTCGTTAATTTCGTAATTCGTTATTAATTCGTTATTTTTTTTATAACGAAGCGATATTGAACCATTCAGGAGCAACTAAAAAACGAAACGAATTTTTCCAATTCGTTTCGTAATTGGTTCGAAATTGTTTCGTAATTGTTTCGAAATTGTTTCGTTATTATTTCGTTATTATTTCCGTATGTCTGGTGCAAGTTTTATAGTCGTTGTTTGTTTTATCAGTGATAAAAAAAAAATTATCACACCAACAGTCAACAACAGAGGGAGAGGGAAGCTTCAGAAGTTCCCCCTGTCCCATTTGGAGGGTTTTTTAGCGTATTGCGCAATCGCGTCCGCCATTAACTAATCGATTCGTTATTGTTTCGAAATTGTTTCGTAATTTCCGAAATTTCGTAAATATCGAACTTTTTAAAAGAAAAATTTCAGAATTCTTTTAAATAACGAAATGCAAAAAACCCCTAAAAACGAATCGAGTTTAGAAACAAATTTTTCCGTGGTTGGACAGCCCTAATTTATACATATGAAGCATTATTAAGAAACAGGAGGGGCAGCCATGCAAAAATCTTAAGTTTCAAAACACTGACCTATGACTTTTGGATGAGTTATGTAATTCATGTAAATGGCTCCAGGTCTCTATCACTTTTCCCCCAAAATGGCTGGGTTTGGTTCCCCCCAAAAGCCCCGAGAAGGATGGTGAGACCGGAGTGGAGAAAGAAACTCTGCTTTTTTCCCAAGGGGGGCAGTGAGAGATGGAGGGATGCCTAGCTGGATGTCTGGGCAAGGAAGAAGCCCCTCCGCACATGGCTGGCCCAGAGAGAGAGGCAGAGACCACACTCACATTGAGGTTTTAACATGGGAAGTGAGCAGAATTCTAGAAAATGTAGATTAGAACAGGACCTATTCAATTATCTGGTGCTGCTGAGCTGGAGGCAATGCAGCATCTGTGTTTTAGAAGTAACTTCTCCAACTCGGAGAGGGAAAAGCGCTTTAATGTGGGACCCAAGCGCTTTAACGTGGGACACAAGAAGAATCCTGGGAAATGTGGTTTCGCACATCCTGGGAAATGTGGTTTAGGGTGAGAACGCAAGGACACATGGGTCCTCAGGTTCCCAAACTTCATTTCCCAGAATTGTGCTTACCACCTTGTGCCTCCTCCGCCTCCTCCTTCTTTTCTGTGTTTGTTCTCTAAAGGGATTTCAAGATAAAAAGGGATTGTTGGAAGTTGAATCAATTCTGTGAGGTAGGCCAAGTTGAGAGACAGTAACTCCAAAGTTTATTTAGTAGGATTCCTGTTGTTGTTGTTTCAAAGGCTGGGTGAGCATTTGTTGGGGGTGGTTTGACTGTGTGTTTCCTGCCTGGCAGAATAAAGCGGGTCCCCCCCCCCTTTGCACAATTACTTAATGAAAAGTAAGAAAGAATGTGTTATATTGTTATAGTTACAATACAGACCCCTAAGAATAATTTAGAAACACCTTAGAAACAATTCTTTGTGACCCCCTAATTTAGTAATGAGTATTGAAAAAAAATTTCATTGATCACACAGGCCAACTAAATCACTATGCCTTTCATGACTAATATCCATCCTAGTATTCCTACCTCATCCCTTACTTTCCACCACTCTCTCAGTTGTTTTTTGGTTTGTATTAAAACTTAGATTGTAAAGACCTGACAGAAGAGAACTTTTGATGGGCTTCTTTTTTGGCTGTATTTTGACTATAAAGTAGGCATCCGTTAGGAAAAGGAAGCTCAAGAAGGAGAAGGAGGAAAAGAGAAAATAAGAGAAAAAGAAGGAAGTTGTGTGACTATTGTAATTATAAATGTTAAGTCTCCCTCAAACTGCAGAGACTGGCAGGTATGACAAAAGCACCTGAACCAATGTCAAAGGCAGATTGAACAAGAATGCTAGGGTCATATCATATCCATTTGCAACTTCCCAAATGCAGAAATTATTAGTAGAGAGAATAAACTAAGATCACAGATACAATGCCATGTATGAATTAACACCAAGGACTGGTTTTTCACTGTACGACCAAGAACAAACTGCACTTGAGCTTCGCCAAATTCCTCACCTTTAGTCTGTTCATGAGTGTGTTTTATATTTGAAAGTGGGTAACAACGATAAGGAAACGTGCTTATCAGTATGGGAATGGAGGACATAATTGAGGGTGGACAAGGTACCAGTATGGTAAGCTAGTCAAAACATGAAAGTTGTAGCAATATTTTCAATAATTAGCACTGAGTCCTACAGTGGTGGGAACAAAGATATCGTATAGGCAGTTTATCTCTTTTGTTATTGTATCTTTTTCTTCTGGTTATCGAATTGGGCAACTTTATTAACAGATAAAGTTTCCTCCCAGTTATATTTTCAAGGCTTTAATTTATAAAGGGATCTGTGCTTTGCAAGTAGCTGGATCATATCTACCGATATGTGTCAATGAAGAGCAATCAGAGCCTTTTACAGTCTTTCTGCAAAGAGCAATAACCAAAATGTTACAACCCATTTAGCAATAAACTGTGCATTTTCTCTGCAAGGCCTTTCCAACATTTTTATGTGCATCATTTAACCTCTCTCTAAATTTAATTCTATATTCTCTGGTAATTTTCAAAATCTAAGTGGGATCTGTGATGGTCTATGTTTTCTCCATAGGCAGGGAAAATATCTCAGGATGAATCATTTCAATGATGCAGAAGGATATGGAACAGTAGAATGTGCATTTCATAAGCAGCATAAGAGATATGCTACACTGGAGAATGTGTTTGCAGGCATGTGTGTGTCATTTAAAACATGCTGAGTTTAATCATCCTGTTGCACTATGCAGCTGTTAAGATTGCTATGAAATGATATTTATAATACAAGTTAAAGGGATTTTTTTTTGTGTTTGCCCCCACCAAACCTTCCCTTCCTTCAGGTATCATTTCTGTACATATTCTAATAACTTATGTGACAATCATGGCAGAACTGAAATAACAGAAAAATGCAGGTAGCAGGGTAAAAATGGAATCTGCTAATCTTAATGCTCCCAGTAGGCAATAAAATATCTTTCCTTCCTCAGGGGACAGCAGAGTCATAAATATGGCTTATATGTCTCCTCAAAATGGCATTTCAGAGATTATATATTCAAAGCAGACTCATTCAAAATGTATGCATGATGTGGGTTTTTCATAGAATAGGAACAGAATAGGAAGGCCAAGCAAAACTGACTGGGAAACATTTGGAAAACACAATTATTTTCTATTTAATATAAGAAGATAGATCAGTACAAATTCATTGAAAAGGCAAAGGCACCCATCACAAACCAATTCAAGTAAAAATGAAGACATGATACAATTATAAGATTCATGAGGTGCTGCAAAGAACAAAGAAACTTCATTTTTAGAAAGCTTCTCTAGTGATTTGTTGTTGGGGTTTTTCTTTGGGGAGGGGGGTCAAAGTCACTTACCTTATGACGCATGCATAAAGTCCACTGTCCTGTGCCAGTGTTGGACGAAACCAAATTGCATCTTCCTCTTTGCTCATTCTAGTTCCATCAAAAGCTATAGGTTCCTCAAAATCTCCAGGTCCAGAGCTTTTGTACCACATCAAACTGAGTCCAGCACTTTGTGCCAGGGTGTAATTTGCTCTTATATATCCATAAAACAGTGCACATTTTATACGAACAGGTTCTCCCACTGAGACTTGATACTTCTTGTAATCCACTGACCAGTCGGTACATCCGTCCGCTAAAAGAACAAAAGAAGAAGAAAAATAATTTAGGATTCTGCATACTCTTGAACTGTATGTCTTATGCAACCATACAAAAGCTTTTTCAAGATAATTGGTTTAATTGGATATGGAAGCAAGACTGGACATAATAAATTGTTTTCTATTTTAGTACTACAAGTTGAGTATTTATTGTCTGAAATGCTTAGAACCAGAAGTATTTTACAGTTCAGATATTTACAGATTTTGGAAAACATATATTTGCATATGTTTCTGATGCCAAGCATTTTAGTATATGAGCTATCTTGGAGATGGGATCCATGTTTAAACATGCATTTCATTTATGTTTCAGATTCACCTTATATATACATAGTCTGAAGGTAATTTTATAAACGAGTGAATGAAACAAAGTTCTTGAGCCATCAGAAAGCAAAAGTATCACTGTCTCACCTATCCTTGTGGACGTTTCTATTTTCAAGTTTTTAGAGATGCACAACCTGTGTATGTTATTCAGTGTGAAACAATTAGCAAACTGCACCACCCTTTTGAATATAATCTGGGGTAAGTATGAGATTATTCCTTCTCTGAAATATATTTTTCATGTCAATATTTAATCAAAACAAGTGCAACAAGGATATAGTCTAACTCAGAGGATGCCATAATTATTGGTTACCATTAAGATACTGATATAAATCCCTCATCTCAGCATTGGCAGAATTACCCAGTATTTCCAACTCATCGAAATATATCACAGCAAGCATCAGTTAGGTGGAATGGGACAGTCAAAAGCCCCATTTACATTGCCATAAAAATCTGTCTTATCTACTTTGAATAGGATTATATGGCAGTGTAGACTAATATAATCCAGTTTAAAGCAGACAATCTGGATTTTATATGGCAGTGTAGATGGGGCCTAAGGCTTCATCTACACTGCCTTATAATGCAGTTTGAACTTCATTATAAGAATCAGTGTAGACTCATATAACACAGACTGAACTTCATTGAATTGGATTATAGGAGTCTACACTGCCATATAATTCAGTTCAATGTAGGTCATCTACATTCTGAAAGTGCATTATAGGGCCTAAATTAGATTTTAAAATAAGATAAATAGAAGTTCTTAATGTAGTGTCTAATTGCACAGAAAAATGAAAAATGCTTATACAAATCATTCAAGTATCAACACTAGATATTTGGTGGCAAACTACATAAGGCTGCACCTGAACTAGCTGTCTTATTACAAAGCACTATGGGTGGGTGGAGGGAGACTCAAAACAGTATTTTCTAGGATGCTTCCAAGTAATGACAGGAGCACACATTCCCACAGACACTCACTTTAATATTATTTTTATATAGGTGAAGTGACATCATACTGTGAGAGAATTACAAACTAACTTAAAGAGTGCACACTTTCCATTATCAAATGAAAAGGATCAATTAGGAATCTGCCATTGCTACCCTCTGCATATTTGACAACATTTGTTCTTTTTGCCCAGTGCTAGGTCACGTCTTTTTAATTTCTCCTCTTGCAGAAACTCTACTGAAACTGTTAGGTATAGATGAAGAGGATTAATATCATCACAGTTCTCCTCATTCCTCCTCTTCAAATGGGTGGAGCAAAGAAAAGTATTGTATTTGTTGTGTGGTACTTCAAACTACATTCCAGCAATGGTTAGGTTATATAACTTTGGATCTCGGATTGCCAGCTATTAATGGCTAAATGTGTTAAATTGCTTATTTTTCAAATCATGAATTTGTTTCTACTAGTTTTTGTCAACATGGAAGATTAAAGCCTGTGCTTTCAGGAAAACAGTAACTTCAATGAGGTATAGGCACATAAAAATTTGTGTGTCATAAGTAAGGAGCAGGAATGTTATGGGACACTATGAAAGCAGTGGCAAGAGGATTATGCATAAAAGAAACCTATCTTAAAAAAGATAAGAAGAAAGAAAAAAAATCAAATTGGAAAAGGACATAGGAAAAATAGAAAATGGACACAGAAAATTGAAGAATTCGGCAGCGTGGCGAGTTTCAAAATAAACAAGAAGAAAACAAAGATTTTGATGAAAAACATTTCCAAGGCAAATAAAAAAACCTTGGGGGAACTGACAAATATGCAAATCGCATCAAAAATTAAATATCTCAGAATACAAATAACAGCAAAAAATTCTCAGCTACTAAAAATAACTATGAAACTATGTGGAAAGAGATTAAAAAAGACCTAAATTCATGGAAAAGTCTGAAACTCGCGTTACTGGGTAGAATTGCAACAATAAAAATGAATATTCTACCAAGAATACTTTTCCTATTCCAAAACCTGCCAATCATTAGAAGTAATAAATCATTCGAGGATTGGAATAAAGACATTTTAAGATTTATATGGGAAGGCAGAAAACCAAGATAAAATACAAAAACCTGACGGACAACAAAACAAGAGGGGGCCTATGCCTTCCTGACATCAAACTAAACCAGGGGTCCTCGAACTTTTTGAACAGGGGGCCAGTTCACTGTTCCCCAGACTGTTGGAGGGCCGGACTATATTTTACACGGGAATATTGTTAAACATTTATTTTATATATTGTGAAACATTTATTTCTAATAGGCCTGGGTAACAACGGAAAAATTTGTTTCTAAAATCGATTCGTTTTTTGGGGGGTTTTGCGTTTCGTTATTTAAAATAATTACAAAATTTTCCTTTAAAAAAGTTCGATATTTACGAAATTTCGTAAATGTGAAAAAAAATTCAAAACATTAACGAATCGATTTCCGAAACAATAACGAATCGATTCGTTAATGGCGGACGCGACCGCGAAATACGCTAAAAAACCTCCAAAAACTTCTGAAGCTTCCCTCTCCCTCTGTTGTTGACTGTTGGTGTGATATTATAATTTTTTTTCACTAATTAAACAAAAAACTTGCCCCAGACATGCGGAAATAATAACGAAACGACCTCAGAACAATAACGAAACGAATACAATAACGAAATACGAAGCATTTACAAAACGTGTTTAAAAATTCGTTTTTTTGAAAAATTGCTCCAGAATGGTTCGTTATCGTTTTGTAATTACAAAAATTAACGAATTATTAACGAATTACGAATTAACGAAACGAAACTGCCCAGCCCTAATTTCTAATTACAAATAAATGAAATTTTGACTTCAAGCATGTTGTAGCATGGGTAACAGGCTAACTATAACAGCAGGGAACCCATGAATATGTTTACTGCTCAGCCTATTGGCCGAATTCCCATGACCTCTTGTCATCATAGTTTGTGGCAGCCACACAAAGTTTTTGGAGGAGAACTTCTACTTTCAAAGTAAGAGCTGCACAATTAAACAGAAAATAACAATTTCAAACCAAATCTCTGTTCTACAATATAATTATGCTTATTTATACACCACTTTTTGCCTTCACAAGGAGACTGTGGGCCCTTCCAGAAAGGTCCTATATCCCAGGATCTGATCCCAGGTTTTCTGCTTTACCTCCTCCTCCTCCCACCTCCCCTCTCCTTCTTCCTGAAAGCTGCCTCGGTGGAAGCACCAGGGAAAGGAGGAGGGAGAAAAGAAAGGATTTAAAAAAGAGAGGAGGAGAAAGGGAGAGAAAAAAGAGGGATAAAGAGAGAAGGAAGGGGGAAAGAAGGAGAGGGAGAAAGAGAGAAAAAGAAAAGAAAGGAATAGAACAAAAGAGGAGAGGGAAGAAATTCCTTCCTTTTGGGTGTTTTTAATGCTTCTTTTTTGTCTTCTTCGATTTACTTATTATTTGCATGTCCCTGACTCCTTCATCCCCGTCTCTCTCCCCCCCAATACACAGAAAGAGCTTTAAAGCACATACATACGGCAGACAGGGGTGTTTGAATGACTTCTTTCCTCCCCCTCTTCCAAGCCGGGGAAGAGTGGGAGAAAAGCTCGCTGGATGGATGGGCTGAGGCTGAGCTTTTACATTTCCTTGGAACGGAGTTTGTCCTGAGATTAGAAGCCGTTGAGTCCCAAGTCAGGAGAGGTGGAGAGGGGGCTGGAGGAGGATTTGGGATGCTTTCCTTCTCTCCTGAGCATAGCTCCCCTTGAGTAGTTTAGTTCCTGGGTTTGGGAGATGCGTTGGTTGGGAAGTTGGTAGCTCATTCTGGCGTGTGCATGTGTGTGCTTGTGTGTGCGTGCTTTGGCAGGGCGCCAGGCTTCAGACAGTGCCAGTCCCTTCCTTTTTCTGCCACAGCTGTTGGGCGCCTTCCCACCTGCTTGGTGGGTGGGCGCGCAAACGGGTCATGCAAAAGGCCCCTTTAATTAACAAACTCCTTTCACGTGACACCACTTGTGCGCCCACCTGCCAAACAGGCAGGAAGGTGTCCCTCCCATGGCCGTTCAGGACAAGCGAGGTCCACATTGAAAAGTGCCTCCCACCCACCCTGCGTGGTAGCCCAGCGCATCCAGGGGCCGGAAAAATGGAAAAATGGGCCCTTCTCATGGAGGTAAGATCAGCCCCCTCGCTAATGGTGTTCCGAAGAAGATTAAAAACTTGGATGTTCGAACAGGCATTTGGTTAATCAGTGCAATGAATGTGACGATTACAGGAATGGAAATATGGACGACGAATTTGGATCATGACTCTAGTGATGAGAAGCATTGTGTTGTTATTGTTGTGTAAAACTGTATATTGTGCTTTTGTGTTTTAAATTGTATATTGTGATTGATTTTACCTTTGTTGTAAACGGCGTTGAGTCGCCGGTTAGGCTGAGAAACTGTGGTATACAAGTAAAGTAAATAAATAAATAATAAATAAAAATGCCCCCGGGGGGGCGGATCTGGTCCGCGGGCCTTAGTTTGAGGACCCCTGAACAATACTATGACACCTGAGGATTGATCTGGTTAAAAGATTGGATTTCACTCAAAAGAGAAAAAGTGTTAATATTGGAGAGGTTCAACCTGAGAGCCAGATGGCATGAGTACCTCTAGTACGAGAAGACAAAAATAAAAAAAACTCTTCAAAAATTATTTTATAAGAGCAGCATTAATAAGAATTTGGGACA